TCGATGCATGTATATTGGGGTTTGTATAATTGCATGGTCTATCGATGCATTTGGGGTTTTATTCATTAGTGGAGTTATTGGAATGTGGTTTGTTAGACTTTATTGGGCGAATATGTTGGGTGTATATTAGGGCCTATATATATCAGGGTCTATAGCGTTAGTTGGTGTTTACAATCATTGGCATTGTGATGCTAATTTGCCAACATTATTCACATTAGTTTTTGTCAAGCTGCTTTGTTTGATGAGCGAATCGATCTATGGTAGGTTGGCACAGCTTACGTTACAGCAACTAGCGCTTTTGGAGTTACTATGGCGTGACTTGCGACCGAAGTCAAGCCGGCATAATATCAACCCTTACCTTTTTGATAGCTCCAGCAAGATACGTCGATCCGTCGGGGTCCACACGACGAAGATCATCGAGCCCCTTGGCGATTTTTGTTCTTAAAAAAAAATGGTAAAAGTGTGAGCTCTCAAACCATTCGCAGGCAGGTAAAGCGACTAGAACTATCCTGACGAACTCCCACTTCGCCAGAATAAAATGAATTAGCATATACCAACTTGTGTACTTCCTAAGAACGCGCGCGATCATTGGTTAATTGGAGGTGAATATTGTACGATATTCACCTCTGAATCTCGGAATATCGAGTCGGCAACAAAATGGCATCTGCCGGCAATCGTTTATTTGCTATCGTCTATTTATTTGAAAAAATGAAAGTAAATACCATTCCTATCTATCAATACTACTGAAGGCAACGAAGTATGCCCTAAAAGTTTTTCTAAATGTTTTGCTAAAAGTTTCTGTTTTTTTGTTTCTTTTTATTGAATTATTGTATATAAAAATAAGTTACTCTGTACACAAGTTGGTATATGCTAAAATAATTATTCGCCTCAGTGAATATGGAGAATATTTACCTCGCCGCTCGAAGACTCGCGTCTCGGTAAATATTCCCCGATATTCACTTCGCCTTTGGCGAATAATTGCTAAGTATGATACCTGTTTTTAGTCAACTTCAGTATGACTTCCGCTTCATTGGAAAATGTGATGAATGAAATGCCGAGATTGGGGCTGAAACACAAAGAAGATATTTAGATTGCGTGGCTAGAAATATACGGTTTGGTCTTTCTTCATATCGAACTTTACAACAAAATATGGGCTGCAAATCTAAGACACAACGGCACAGCTAACTCACGTTAGTCGGTATTATGGAGAGAAGAAAACCGGCCAGAGAATGCACTACCGTTACATCATTCTACGTATAATACCGTTTTTTGTGTTAAAAATGAAGTCTGTCCTAGATTCTTGGGCGATCCTTGTGAAAATAGCTAGCGTGACATGAGTAAATGAGTAAACAATCAAGCACCAATAGAGAAATCAATTGAAAACGTTTGTATCATGATTACCTTATGAAGCTTTGTGTAACGTTCTCGACAAAGCTGACAGTCCCACCCTGGAAGTCAAGAAGGGGGACACTTCCTGATCTAAAGGAAAGGATGAGATCATTTGTTAAGTTGCAAAACCAGCTCAAGATAGTCAACTTTTTCAAAAGCCTACAAAGTCTTAGGAATAACAATATATTGTATTGCGTAAATAAATGTCCAAAACGCTGTATTGAATGTGTGTTGTATTTTATTGTCTGCACCAAAACGCTAATGAAAGTTTGACTAACGGTAATGAACCCACGCAAACATATTTTCATGAACGTCAAATTCAATGCTAAATTTCTTAATGAAAGTTCCATCGCACTATTGAGACTCCGTTCGCCTTATTGTATGCCTGTTCGCCCTAATGACAATGCTTCTTCGTTTCAATGAATATTCCTTTGCGGTTAATGAATAACCATTAATTTTTGAAGATCGATGTGACCCCATTAAATAAAAGTTTCATTCGTTATTTGTAATAGCATTGATGAATTCGATTCATTCGATCCTTCAGAAAATAATGTTTCATGCCGGCGCGCCGGGCCGTTTAAGCATTCTAAATACTTTCACTTTAGAACGGCTTAACAGGTTTAGCACCAGTTTTGATCACTTTTTGATTTTCTTTTT